CCAGCAAAAATACAGTAAATACAGGATTAAATGCATATTTTCTAAGACGGTCATCATTTGCATTATCATCCTTCATCAATGGAAAGGCTACATTTTTTCCTTTCACTAAGAAGAAAAAAAAGAGATGCTCGAAATGGAGAAAAAGCTATTTTACAAAGCAAGAGTTCTCCTGGATGCTATTAAATGATATAGAGAAGATGCTAAGAACAGGTAATCTCCACTGCAGGAATCAGCAGGTTAAACTCTAAGACATGTTTAGTGCCAAGACAGGTCTTTGGTCCTCGAACTAAAGAATGCACTTATAAAAGAAAGATCTTTTACAGACCTTATTTATCTATCTATCTTCCTCAACGCACTGAAACACGGAGTCTCTCATTTATATAACCCCCAACCTTCTGCAAGGCTCATTAGCTTCACACGTGTTCTGAAGGCCTCTTTCTTCAGCCTGTACTATTTAGAAAATGTGAACCACTACCTCCCTGCTTACTGGAAGCACCTGTGCTGGGCTGCGTGCAGTGCAAACAGGAAAACCGGCCCTCGCACGTTGTGAGCGCGGCTGCGCCATGAGACTGCCCAGCAAGAGCAGTTCTCCAGCTTCATCGCCATTGCACAACGCTTAGGCAAAACAGGGTTTATTTTATTTGTTTTAACTCACACTTCTCTGGTTTACTCTCAGCCAATGAAACAGTGCAAACACATTTTGCAAGCAGGGTAATCTCTGGTCCAAACTATGGCTGTAACTCCCAGCTGATGCACACTCAACTCACTGCTTAAAATGCCTGCAGCTATTTCTCCTTTTCACCCGCTCTCAGACCTCCCACCCCTTGGTTCATCTGCTTTCCAGGAGAGGCAGTCTGGAGGTTGACACGCGGGAATTTCTGCCCACTTTTTCTGCAGGTGTCAGCCCAAGTAATTATTTTGGACATGCTCAAGACAAACAGGTAGAACAAATGAACTGATAGAGAAAATAAAAACTCTTCAAAATTCAAGCAGATTCTTGGGGATGTATATTTCATCCCCATGGATCATGGGCAATGTATAAAAGTCCCTGAGCACTCAAACATAATCACAGAATCATGGAATGGCTGAGGGTGGAAGGGACCTCTAGAGATCACCTAGTCCAACCTCCCTGCTCCAGCAGGGTCACCTAGAGCACGTGGCACAGGGTGGCATCCAGGTGGGTTTGGAAGATCTCCAGAGAAGGAGACTCCACAACCTCTCTGGGCAGCCTGTTCCAGGGCTCTGTCACCCTCACAGTCAAGAAATTCTTCCCCACATGGAGATGGACCTTCTTGGGTTTCAGCTTGTAGCCGTTACCCCTTGTCCTGTCACTGGCCACCACTGAGAAGAGTTTGGCCCTTCTCCCTACATTCCCCTCAGGTAGTTGTACATGTTGATCAGGTCTCCTCTCAATCTTCTCTACGGCTAAACGGCCCAGCTCGCTTAGTTTTTCCTCATATGATAGATGCTCCAGTCCCTTAATCATCTTTGGCG